CTTGGATTTGTCAGGCCCTGCTTCTCCTCCAGCTTGGGGTGGGGGGGGGGGGCAACGGAGTGTGGGGGAGGCAGGCCTAGGGCACAGGGCACACAGCTTCCTTTGTGACTGTGGCTGAGTCACATGGGCAATGCCATCTCCCTGGGCCCTGGGGCGGGTATGATGGGAGATGGCGTTATTGTGGGGCTGTGGCTGCCCCCATGCCTGTGGCCAGGAAGCTTTCCCATGGGAATGAAGGAGGTGGCTGGGCGCATTGGTTGAAGAGCAAGTAGTCTGGATCCCAGGATCTGGGTTCTAGTGCTGACTCTGCTGATGACGTACTGTGAAGCCTCAGGAAAGTTCTCTCTCAGCCTCAGTTTCCATCTCTGTGAAATAAGAACTGTCATCACTGTTTTGTAGATGAGCTACTGGATATGAAAGGGCTTTGTAAACGAGTGCTGGGCTTTTGGGCATTTGTGTTGACTTTTTGATAATCATAATGACATTGGCTCAACATTTGTAAGCCTCTACTGTTTGCCAAGTGTGGTGCTCAATGATTTAGAAGGCTACTCAGCTTGCAAGGAGAGAACTTGAACTTGAGCTGCTCTTGTCCATAAGAAGTCATCTCCAAGCAGGCAGTGGTTGCTCGTGACCCTTCCCACAGGTGGCACCTCTCTGCACTGTTTGCATGGCTGGCTCACACCCTGAGTGGGGGCTCAGAGACGGAGAAGGGAGAGGCCTTCAGGAACAAAGCCATGTCCTCCACTTGTCCGGCCTCTGTCACAGTGGGCACATGGGTCTCCTGTTCTCTTAGCCCTGTCCTGGCTTCACACGTGCTCCCAGATGTCCCACCTCGTTGGTGGCCCCATTTCTGCCTCCTTTGCAGGCTGCTCTGAATAATAAATCCCTTGAAGATACATCATTCATGCTCGTTCGTGCCTGGGCTGTGAGCTTTATTATTACTGGTGGTGCTGCTATTGTCCCCAGTTGAGTCACTGAGCTGGCAGAGACGGGAGCAGAAGCCACTTGGCCAGAGTCCAGAGTCGGGGCTTCCCACCTCTGAGTGGCAGCACGGCCCCTCCCCTCCGTCCTTTAACTGAAGGCCTTTCTGCACCCCCCGCCCTGCCTCTGGCCACTGTCACTTCCAGTAATTCTCATGTCCTTCTCTGGTCCTGGGTGACACCAGCCCTTCACCCCAGCCCCTGCAATGTGTTTGGAGCTGCCTGTTGGAAGGCTATACCACATGTCACAAAGTACCACCCCTCCGCTGAGCCCAAGGGCAGCCTCTTCCCTGCCTTTCAGATCTGCACCCCATCCTGTGCCCCCCCATTCTTCAGGGCACTTTATGACCTCTTTTCCTCCCACCTGCACATGTGGGATGGGGGTCCTAGCCCTGCTCTGGTTTTTTGGACCCAAAGCTTTCCCCCAACACCTCCCTCTGCTCCCATACTCCCCAGTGGCCTGGCTGGACCCTCCACCCATCCCACCCCACCATTGCTGGTACATGGCCCTGGAGTCTAGATCAGAGCATCTGCTTTGCCCAATGCCAGAGTCCCCTGGGCATGTTGTTCAAATGCATATTCTCATTCAGCAGGTCTGGGGCACACCTGAGATGCTGGATTTCCAAGTTCTCGGGCCAGGCTGTAGGTCTGTAGACCACATTTTGTGTACTAATCACACCCTCCCTACCAAACACCATCCCTGGTTTCCCAGTGCCTTGGATAAAACTCCATTAAAAGCAAACTCCATGCTTTCAAAATATTCCAAAATCTGCACCTACTCCCCTAAATAGATCCCACTTCCTTCCAAGAACGGCTCCCATGTCCCATCCTTCCTCTCTACTTCTGCTGATGTTGTTCCCTCCACCTGGAAAGCCCTTCCAGCTGGTCTCTGTTTACAGCAGTTCCTCCTGCAAGACGAGCCGGGCCCTGGCTGGTGGCTCAGTGGCTGAGTGCTGCTCCAAGCACCAAAAGGTTTTCAGTTTTGGGCTTGATCCCCAGTACGGGGAGTGCAGGAGGCAGCCAATCGATCTCTCTCCCTCCCCCTCTCACTCTCCCTTCTCTCTCTAAAGTCAATTAAAACATATTTTTTTTAAAAAAGACCCAGCTGGGGCTCTGGGGCCAACACTCTTGGTTCAAACTCGTTTCAAACCCTGGCTCTATCCCTCAAAGACACGGGCAAGCCCCTCCCCCTCTCTGTGTCTTTGTCCCTCTTCTGTGAAGTGGGGTTGTGATTGTTGTGAGACCCAGAGGAGGCGATAAATATGAAGAACCTAGAAGGACCTGGCACCTATAGGTGCCGGTTAGAGCCCACACATCGGGGGATCCAGCCACATACCAACTGTGCGACCTTGGCTACGTTACTTTGTTTCTCACATAACAGTGGGACCCTGGCCGCAGGGTTGGGAGGATGAAATTAGAATGACCCATGCAAAGCAGTGTCTTACACGGTGAACCCTGTGGACACAGCAGCTATTCTCTGTCCTGTCAGTAAGACTAATGAGGGGCAGTATTGTGATTAATAATAATTTATGGATTCTCTCCTTTGACTCCCAGAGCCTTCTGGGAACTACATGCCAATAACTAAGTCCCTGGTATCAGCCCGATGTGAGTCAGACTGGGGGCTGGGGCCTGCTCCTCACCTGTGCCCTGGAGCCTGGCACAGTAGCCAGCACATAGTAGGTTTTTGAGAAGCATGATGGTAAAAGGGCAGCCAGAGCTTGGCAAGCCAACTCCTGCGCTGGCCAGGCTGCCTCACAGGCCTGTCCTATGTGGCCAGAGCAGCAGCTGGCTCCAGGTCTCGGTGTCCCTTGTTTGGGCGTCCAGCTTGGCAGGACCCTGCCATGTGCAGAGCGTAGCACCTGCAACTCTCCACCGGTGCTCTGCTGGCCAGCACCCTCTGGGCTGTGTGTGGTTGGAGGGAGTGCTGCCCTGCGGGCCTGGATCCCAGGGAACAGCTGAGGCTGCTCCACAGCAGGTGGCCCAGCCCTGAAGGACAGACCTTGGGGTAACTGAGGCTTAGGGGTGGTGACTGTGCCTGGAGACATGGCATGTAAGGGGCTCCCCATTCTTTCCTGGATAACTCTCTTTTGCTCCCTTGTTTCCCAATCCCTCCTGCCCTAATAATGACCGAGTGCCCACTTCAGCCCTGGGAGGAAGAGCAGGCCCAGAGCCCACAGTGCCTGCCTGTCCTGGGCATCAGCGCAATGTAGACGTGAGGCTGACCACTTTGAGAGCACAGAACAGCTTTCTGGAAGCTCTGGACTGGGGGCCTCCACACAGCTTTGTTGTGATTCTTATGTCTATATTTATCTCATATATATATGAGAGAGAGAGAGAGACATGGATCAGAAGAGGAAGGGAGAGAGAAAGACAAACATCGATCGGTTTGCCTCCTGTGCGGATCCTGACCCCAGGGACTGAACCTGCAACCTGGGTATGTGCCTTGACCGGGAATTGAACCGGTGACCTTTTGGTGCACAGGACAACATTCAACCAACTGAGCCACCCTGCAGCTTGATTTATGCAGGCAGGTGAGGGGTATCCTTCACCCGCAGCAACCCCGCCCCCGGAGGCTGCCTAGAGAGTTCCATTCATGCTGCATCACGTGACTTTTCTCCTCTTTTAGAGAAGGGACCTACGTGCCCTGAGCACCCCCCCGTGTCCAGGCCCCACTCCGGAGGGTGGAGAGGCTGGATTCCTGAGTGCTCAGGAGAGCCAGTGTGGAGCCAGACCGCCGGCTCCTGTCCCAACTTCACCACTTCTACCTGTGTGACCTCAGGCAAGTTAATTCCCTTCTCTGAGCTTCATTCCCTGTCCTGTGCTCTCCCTTCCTCATCGCCACCTTCACAGCAAATATTCTTGAGCCCCCTCAAGTCCCAGGACGGGTCTGAGCGGCATGCTGTGGCGCGATGCAGTGGCATGAGGGGAAAGTCTGGAGCGCAGTGAACGGTCAGACTGTGATCATTCTTGTCATTACTGTTGTCGGCATCACTTACCCTCCGAGTGTTGTGAAATCCTTGCAGCACCTGTGACTTGGCGGTCGCTTACCCACGTCGCAGGGGTGAGGGAAGGCAGGCCGCCACACCCGCAGGGTCAGCACAGCCATTGGAGCCTCCTGACACCCAGATGCTCAGTAGTGGGAGTGAGCTGCGGACAGAGGCCAGTGACCAGAAAGGCCCTGGGGCATCGGCCCATTTCCAAATTTCTCTGTGAGCTTTCGGAGCCACCAGGAATGGTTCTTCACCTGGGCCTCAGTTTCCTCTTTGGCCTAGCAGATGAACTCATGGATGCCATTTCCAGAAGCCCCTGGTGTCTCAGAACCCAGAGCTGTCTTGAGATGTTGAAACTGTGCGCTTGGGGAACACTGAGATGAGTCCCTTTGCTGGGAGGACCGAGGCTCAGGGAGGGCTCCCGGTCAGGTGGCCAGTTGTGCACGGACTGGCTGGCTGCATGCCAGGTGCTCGACACCCGCCCCCCCCAGAGCCTTCCGCTCCGCTGCTCTGCCAGGCAGTGCAGGCTCCTGTGGGCTGCCAAGGAGGCCGGACTCTCCTTCAGGAAGGGGCAGTTGTTGTCTGGGCCTGGGGGTGGGGGAGCATCAAAGCGCCTGTTGCCCTAGCAACCCTGGCCTCCGCGGGAACTTTGGGAAGAACAGCCCTGGAGAAGCGACAGATGGAGGGCGAGGAGGCAGCGTTATCCCTGGCCTGCATCTGTCCCTGAAGCCTGGCACCTGTCTGCCCAAACGAGAGGTGAGGCTGAGGTGCCCCCTTGCCCAGTGCTGAATCATAGGCATCGTGCAGGGTCGCTTCGCTGCCTCGGCTCTCAGCCCTGCCCCCTCTCAGCCTCCCTCTGAGAAATCCATGACTCACAGTCCGTCATCCCCAGCTGAACTAGGGAGGAGGGAGGAGTCCATCTGGGGCAGGAGGAGGCACCCCCCCCAAACACATCCCAGAACTTCCCCGGGCTCCTCCTCCTGCACACTGGCTGCCGGCAGCCCTGCCCCGCGCAGGAGAGGGGCTGGGAGTCTACCGCTCACGCAGCTCCCTCCGCGGCAGGAACTGCTGGCAGGTTAAGCCTTGGAGGTGGATCTTGGAAGTTGGTTCAGCTGCCTGACCCAATGAAGGACCCTCCACCTGGCTCCAGGTACCAGATCAAAGAAGCAGGAGGGATGGGGGTGGGTGTGGCAGAGAGTGGGGTGGTGGTAGAATGGGGAATTGGGAGGTCTCGGTATCTTGGTGGGAGCTAGCCCAGAGGAGCATTGCTAGAGGGGGGTGGTCTCTAGAATCGGGGGCAGATGGGCAGGGAGATGGCTGGAAGAGGACAGGGCCCGAGAGGACGAAACCTCTCAGAACCTCTAGTCAGTGGTTAGCTGCGGAAACGGAGGCTCTGAGTAGTCTGTTCACTAGGCACAGTAAGCGGGGTCTGCTCCCTGGGCAGTAAGATTACGCTTCACTCCTGCTCCCGCTGCACAGAAGGAAGAACCCAGGTTCAGAGAGGGCAGGTGGCTCACCTGCAGTCATATGACAGGTCTGGGGTAGAGAGCCAGGGTCCAGCCTTCGGGGGGTGGGGAGTTGGGGGGGGGGGGGGCTGCTGCAGGCGGCTGGGCACCGGGCTCTTGGGGGCAGCTTCAGCTGCAGCTACCCTGGGGCTGGGTCCGGGTCCCCACGCGAGCCAGGGCAGTCTGGCTCTTCATCACACAGGTGTCCTTGGGGAGGAGGTGGTCTTGACTGTAGGGTTTGAATGCAGGGGACCTGGGGTGACAGAATGCCCTGGGAACCAGGGGCAGATAGATGGAGAAGCAGAGGCTTAGGCTGCAGAGTGCACCGCCCACTAACCACCAGACCCCAGGGCTCCCACCTGCTGGGCACCGATAGGGCCTTCCCACCCGGGGGGCTGCCCTGTTGCACCCTGGAGAAACGGCTGGTTCCGCTCCTCCCACCTCCCCCGCCAGCCTCCTTCCTGTGGTGCTGAGCTGGGGTCTCCCAGGGCCCCAGGGGAAGGGGCTGGTGCTCAATTTACTGAGGAGGGTGGGGGATATACTCCAGGCAGGGCCCCTCTTGCCCCCCCCCACTCACCCCACTCCCACCCTGCCTGGAGCAGCTCTGAGCAGCTCTGGCCTGGGGAAGGTGGGGGGGGGCGGTAAAAATAGCCTCTGTGGCTCTACAGGGCCAATGATGTTATACATGTAAGCAGTATTGAATACCTACTGTGCGTCAGGTACTGTCCCGGGGCAGAGGGGGGAGGGCACTGAATGAGCCCTGTGGGTACCCTGAGCAGAGGGTTGGATCCCTGAAGAGGAGACTGAGTGGGAAGAAGTCTGTGAGAGCCACTGGCTGCTGAGCAGGTTCCCAGAGTCCAGGGCAGGGCCTATGGAGAGGGCCCGGCACTCCAGAGGTGGCACTCGCTCTCGGGGCCAGGCCTGACCCCTTTGCTGCAGGGACTCTGAGATACGGACCCTCCTTGGTCACCTTGCCTTGCCTCTCTCTCTGAGTCTCAGTTGCCTGGCTGCTAACTGGGTGTGTAAGGTGATAATAGCTGCTCCGTGTCCTGTGGTCCCACAGAGTCAGGTCATGAAGGGAGAGGCGTGGTCTGTGAGGAGAGCCCTCGTGAGGCAGCCTGCACTGCTGCTGCCCCGGGCCACCGGGCGGTGGCCGTCGCCTGGCTGGGACACCCAGCTCCTGTCAGGGACAAACCACAAGACAGTGAGGATCTGAGGCTGAGGAGCGAGATGCACTTGCTGGTGGTGGTGGCTGGGGAGAACTTTCTGACCCGAGGAAGCCTGGGGGGCTGGGCAGAGGGCGCCAGGCTGCTGGGAACCGGTGAGGAGGGACAGAGGTTCAAGTGCGGGGGAGGGGTGGTGGGGGAGTTCCTGGCAGAGGGAGCTGCGTGGGCACAGGTTTGGGAATGGTGAGAGCCCGGGGGGAATGGGGCAGGAGCTGGTACTGGAGACCTGGCACAGGTCATTTCATGGGGACTGGAGTGCCACTGGGCAGTTCTAATCTGCTCTGTGGGGAAGGGGTGGTAGGACCACTTGGGCAGCACTGTAGACAGGGCCGGGCTGTGGCCCAGCAGGATGGGGGGCAGGGTTTGTGGTGTGGGGCTCAAGGCTCGTGCTTGGGAGACAGTGTGTGGGTGATGAGGGCTGTGCCCATTTCAAGGATGTGGGTGGGCTCCTACATGGCAAGGGTGAAGAGTCAGGGGCAGAGCTGGTGGGGGAGTGAGGGGATGTGGCCACATAGCCCCAAACCTTGGTATCACCTCACTCCCAGAGCTTGAGCAGGACCTGCACCCCTGACCCCAACTGGGGTGGCTCTGTGAACCCCTTCCTTCTGACTCACCGCAGATGGGGACATCACGTGAGCAAACCTGGCAGCTGGGGGAGCAGGACCTCAGGGAAGAGGCAGAGGGTGGGTGGGGGGAGTAGGGTTGGCATAAAGAACCCTCTCAAACAGGGTAGGCGGGTCCCTGGCTGGGCTCAGCCTCTTCAGGCTTGCTCTCTGCTCGCTGGTCCTCATGCCCCGTGGTGAGTTCCGAGGTACCTGGGGAGCCCTGCAAATTCTGAGGTCAGGCCCGGGCTGCTGGGCAGAAGGGCCACAGGTAGGGGAGGAGCTTGGGACACACAATATCTGACCCCTGCTCAATTCCAGCCTTCCCCGGGCACAGATGGGCTGCGGCACCTCCCAGGCACCTCAAGCCCCAAACTCGCTGGATCCCTGGTGGCTCGTCTGGGCTAGAAGGGTACTTCCCGTCCTCAGAGCCTGTCAGGCCCGGCTCAGTGCTTCGCGGGCAGCTATCCTCCCGCGGCAGGTGTGCGTGCCGAGCCCACTTGGAGATGAGGACACAGGGCGGGAGGCTTAGCTGCGAGCGTCCTCTCGTGCTCGTAGCTCTAGCGTCTGTGCTCGTATCCACAGAGCTCTCCTGCCCCCTCGGTGGGGAGGGGCTCCTCGGCCAGGCCAGGCTGTGTGCTGGCTGCCCTTGTGTCTCGAACCCCACCGCTGCTGCTGCCCAAATCCTCTAGGCCCCACAGAGAGAGCAAGGCCACTTGCCTGGGGAGAACCCTGGTTTATTCCTCTCTGGTTGTGTGAACTTGGGTATTTGCCTCAGTTTTCTCGTCTGGAAAAGTAGATAAGGGTGGTATAAATGTGGGGGTCTGTGGTGAGGATAAAGGGGTGATTGTGGGGAAGTGTTAACACAGACCTTGGCCCATGTAGATGTTAGCCTTACCATGATCGCCCCATCTGGCAGATGGCATCACTGAGGCCTGGGATTATCTCGTAATAGCTCGGGGGACTTACTCCTGCCTCCCCTAGGAAAGCTGGGGCCACCTGGGCTCTGGGAAGAGCCCCAGCAGCCTTACTTTGCTTTGGTGGGGAGGCCTGTGGGGTGGGCATGTGCTCCTGGGCTGATGGGCTCAGGCGGCTGGTGGTGTGCATGGCAGCCCCCGGAGACAGATCAAAGCTGAGCCTGGAGGAGCTGGGGAGCAGACGCCTCTCCTGCACTGGGGGGGGGATGGCCTCGGGGCGTGGGTTCGCTGTCCGGAAGCCAGCCCAGCTCCAGTCCCCTAAAAGGCTGGAGGTCTGCAGCTAATGGCTCCAGTGTGGCCCCCCAGGCTCAGGGCCACTTAAGTCCAGACGAGCCACAGTGAGAAGCTAGAACCACGCTGCGGTCTCTCAGTCCCTCCCCCTCCCAGAGGTGCTGGCCCAGCGGGGGAGCGGGGGCTCCTGGACACTGCTGCCCGTGGTCCCAGCCTCCCGGACCTCAGCATCCTCACCTACACACAGGGATGGCAGTGTCACCCCTGGCAGGGTTGTTGCTGGCATTTGGGGCAATAAATCGCTGCAAAGAGTGAACTTACTTAGCTGAAGGTTTTGTCTTCAGGGCCATGGGGTGGTTGAATTAGAACTAAGTTCAAATTCTTGAAAAGTGATCATACCAAGTGCCTTAAAATCTCTAAGCCTAACTGCTTAGGCTGTAAAATGGGGGTGAAGAGACCTGCATGTCCAATATGTAAACAAGACCTTGTGGGCTTAACTGTGACAGCCACGTGCTGTAGGGGCCACGGGCAGGAGAGCCTCCGGCGGTTCCAGACCTCCCCTCCTCCATTGCCCAGCTCAGCTGTTTCCCTGGGAGAGGCAGCGCAAGGTGGGCAGCTCTGGGCTGCTTGGTTCTGTCCCAGTTCCATCAGCTGTGTGAAGGTGGACAGGTGTACTAGCCTCTCTGTGCTGTGTTCTCCTCATCTTTAATTTATTTTTTAAGTCCTCACCCGAGGATATTTTTCCATTTATTTTCAGACAGAGTGGGAGGGAAAGAGAGAGAGAAACATCAGTGTGAGAGAGACACATCGATTGGTTGCCTCCTGCACAACCCCGACCAGGGCCGGGGACCGAACTGCAACTGAGGTACATGCCCTTGACCGGAATCGAACCCGCGACTCTTTGGTCTGTGAGCCGGCGCTCTAACTGCTGAGCCAAACTGGCCAGGGCTCGTTTTCCTCATCTTTTTTTTTTTTTTTAATCCTCACCCGAGGACATTTTTCCATTTTTTGTACAGATAGAGTGGGAGGGAGAGAGAGGAAGGGAGAGAGAGTGAGAAACATCGACGTGAAGGGACACATCGAGTGGCCGCCACCCACACGGCCAACCAGGGCCAGGGACAAACTGCAACCGAAGTACGTGCCCTTAGCGGGAACCGAACCCGGGTCTCTCCGGACCCCAGGCCGACGCTCTAACCGCTGAGCCAAACTGGCCAGGGCTCGTTTTCCTCATCTTTAAAGTGAGGATGGTAATGGCACCTTGAGACGGTTGAGTGAGCCACAAAATCTGACGTGCTGAGTCTGCCTGGCACACCAGAGGTGATGTTGTCATTGCCACTGTTCGGGGCCAGCCCCAAGTCCTCTGTTAGAGAGCAGCGCAGAGTCTGTCCCGGAGAGACAGCCTGTCTCCCATGATGTCACTGGGAAAGTCACCAGAGAACATGCTGCCGTGAACACTCATTGAATGGGGCTTGACCCGCTGGTCTGAGTTGTCCAAGTCTGGGACTCCCTGCTGAGACCCAAGGCCCGGCCAGCGTGGCCACTGTCCGGGGCCTGCCGGGGAGGCCTGAGTTCAAGGCGGGCTGTTCCCTAGGGCAGCACTTTGTGGTCA